CCGGTGCCTGTGGTCTGCTGGGGACGGTCCCCAGCAGACCACAGGCACCGGTTCTCAAGCGGCAGCAGCAGCGGTTCCTGCGCTTCTGAGGCTTTGCTCTGGCAAAGCCTCAGAAGCGCGGGAACCCGCCCAGTGCCCCTGGTCTGCTGGAGACGGTCTCCAGCAGACCAGGGGCACCGGAACAGCTTACGAACGGGGCTTTCTCGCCCCGGAGGTCGCAGGTAGCAATCCGCTACCTCGACCTCCGGGGCGAGAAAGGTCGGATCCGCACTTACGAACGGGGCTAAGTCGGATCCGCGTAAGTCGGGGACTGCCTGTATTGTATTTCCATATCTCCATATTGAATGAGAAATGAAACTTCAGAAGCGTAATAATGTTTATATGGTAGTAATTTGTTCGTTACTGAAATAACCCCAACTTCAGTCCTATTCCTGGTGAATTCATAAGGAGTTTTAGCATTAGCTTAGAATGGAACATAAGGAACACATCTGTTAGGGAGCTTCTGAAGTGCCACAGATATACCAGTTACAGGACTACTGTACAAAATGCATGCTTGTAAAATACCTTTGGTTATTTGTTTGTACAATTCCTCATACAGTGGGGCTTCACATCTAGTTGGACTTTCTAGAATATTAGCATAATATATACATTAAATAACTGGACTAAAGTTTTGACCTAGTGTGCTTGATTAATGCCAGTACGCTGTGTAGTGTTGCATAACTTCATTATTTAACTTTGAAAATATAAATATTTTCAGTGTTTTGCAAGCTGTCAAAGTAACGATGATCACAGAAGATGAAAGCTATACAGGTTAGGTTTTCTAAAATTTAAGTGTCTGGAGTACATTTTTCAATTGAGTTCTTACCAGACTGATGGATAAAGTCTTTTCACAAAGGCCAGAATGTCCATGTTTTTGTACTACCAAATTTTCTCCCCTTCTCCATCTGGAAGAAATTTTTGCTTTCCATAGGTGTATTTTAGAGTCACACAAAAGAACTTTAATTTTTGTTTGACAGGCACACACACTTCACCAACTGGACCCCAATTTATCCTATTAACTCTAGCAAAGAACATTAATAGGGATAGAATCCTTGTCTGTATGTACGGTTTATGATAGCACTTTATTCTGCAATTGATTTCACATCTAATAAGCCAGGCTTTTTTTGGGAAGACTTGAGACTCGTAATATTTCATATCCTTATCTCTCCCCGGCACAGGAAGAACTTCTTAACTCAAGGATTGTAGAAGATGATGGGATCATGGATTCCATTCTGCAGAAAATATCCAATAGGTCAGATTGTTGTGCATCTCTTCTTCTCTGTGACTATACATTTCTTAAACTTGTGGTTCTTATACTTTCCCATTCTGTAGTTCTAGACTATCAATATTTATTTTCTTCTGTGGGGTTTAAACCCAAAATCTATTTAAAGTAATCCGTGTAGCACATCTTCAAATGCAGCTAAAGATTTAACTATGAAGAAGACAACCCCATATTCATGTTAATATATGAAAAATAGCAGAACTACACTTAGATATTTGTGATCTGTTTTCTGTCACACACAAATAAGGCATATGCTTATCACCAGTTTGTGTGTGTATATTTAATTAAGCAAGAGCACCCAGGTTCTCCTTCGTGCCCTACTCTCAAATTGCCAATCCTGCAGATAAAGATACTGTAGTGTTTTGTTTTTTCTCTTTCTTCACCCTTCACATGGCTACCCCAGCTTCTTCAGGAGAGATCAGACTGGCTTAGGGGTTTGTCTATTCGTCACCCTTAACCTCTAGTTTGGAAGAGCATCTCTTTTATTCCAGTTCTGCTGCCAGTTGCTCCATTTGTAGGCAACCCCATCTCCTGTTCACTTTTTAAAAAATAATGGTAATTCCATTGTATTTTTTCTGTTTAGGGAGAGACATTAAGCAGCAGACCTATAAGGAAATCTAGGTACCAACAAGAAGGCTCTCAGATTAATGTAATCAGTGATGTTCCTGAGGACCTACATCAAACTAATCATTAATATCACTAGTGCTGCTAGCTTAGCCTGAAGGATTTTGCCTGTACTTCCTCAGGGGAGGGAAGAGAATGAGGCTATGTCTCTACATAACAAAGCTTACAGCCGCAACAGAGCTGTATCACTGCTGCTGTGCTACTATAGGGTGTCCCAATAGGTGTTTATGCCAATGGGGGAGAACTCTCCCATGGCATAGTTAAACCACCTTCAGTAAGCAGTAACAGCTGAGTCATCAGGAGAGCATCTCCTAATGACATATTGTGGTCCACACTGGTGCTTTTGTTGGTGAAACTTATGTTGGTTGGGGGGGTTCAGACTACGGATGTGAATGGTTAACTAACAGAATTATACATCCCTAGTTCAGACCCGTGACTGACAAACTTTATCAAGAAAAATGCTAGTGTAGACATAGCTTTAGCATACTGTCAGTTAGTTGTGCTTTTGGTATTCTTTTGTTTCAGCATAGCAGAATTTTCCAGACACATCATGTCACCGTATTTAGAGGACCTTGGAAATATACTAGAATCTGCCCTGAAAGGTGATCTGCAAAGGATTTTTTAAAAATAATGTTTGTGTTCTTTTCAGCTTTTCGTTGTTATATAAAGAAGTCCTGAAAAGTTAAATTTTATTTTCCTGCTTGTTTTAGCCTTAAAAATATTCAGAAGTAAAATTTGTTCTTCCCTGGGTGTGTTAACAGTTTACTGGTAATAGTCTGAAAAATGTGTATTGTGAGTGTTTGCAAGAGTGCCGTACGTATAGTGGCTGACTCTTGAGCCTTGTCATCACTGGTTTAAAAAGATATATATATATATTTTTTAACCTCGGGGCAGCTATTGTGCATGACCTATCCCAAGCAAGAAACACAGTGAAAATAAGGCACTTAAGTTTTACTGCATGGTAAACTAGGTGAGGCCAGGATTTTCTTTCTGCTTGATGCTGACCTTACCTAGTTTACCTTATGTAAAACTATAAAGTGTCCTATCTTCACTGTTTCTTGAATGGGCTAGATAGTTCGTGCACATTAGCTGCCTCAAGATTTAAAAGAACCCAAAAAACTCCTCCTTCCCTCTTCCACTGTGAAGACGAGGCCACAGGTGGGGCTACAAGGTTAAACTAAGAGGATGAAAAATGAGTTCAAGAGCTGATTTTTTTTTATTTTGTTTTAAACATTATTTAAAACTATGAAAACATATACTAAATTTACTATAATCGGAGCTGGGAAAAGTCCTGGCTAACATGGCTAGGTCTGTTAAAACTCTGCATCCCAGGACTAAGCCTCAGGAATCAGGACTGTGCTGATCTATGGAGAAGGCAGCTTTGCTGGGCTTGGGAAATATGGGCAGTGCTTAGAGTGGGGCTGGGAAGAGGCCTGGCTGAGGCAGCCCTGAGGCAGCCCTCCCTCCAGTGCAAGCTGGGAATCAGCTGTCCTGGCTCATGCAGGGTCTCCCCTGCTATGTTTCAGCCTTTTAAGTGAATTAAAAGGCAGAGCCACAGCCTTTGACTAGTCGATGGACTAGTCAATTAGTCAAACTAAACTTCTGCAACTCCTGGGGAAGGGGGAAGATGCAGACTAAGGTCAGGAGGCTGAAGCTGGGGATGGGAGCAGGGCTGGAAACAGAGCTGCGAGTGGAGAAAAAATGGGTGGTATTTTCTCCCTGCCAACCATGGGGGCTTATCCAAAACCTGCTGTGCCCCTTGATTGCCCTTCCATGCCCCAGGAGGGGGGGCACGCCCCATAGTTTAACGACCTCTGCCCTAGACTATCCCTGGCAGGTGTTTATTCTAATCTGTTCATAAAAACCTTCAGTGATGTGGATTCCACAACCTCCTTGGAAGCCTGTTCCAGTGCTTAACCAACTGCCTCTTACATTTGAAGTTTTTGTCTTAATATCTTACCTCAACTTCCCTAACTGCAATTGAAGCCTGTTAGTTCTTGTTCTACCTTCAGTGGACGTGAAGAACAAGTGATGGTTGTCCTCTTTTTAATGGCCTTAACATATTTAAAGACTTTAAGTTCCCTCCCGCTCTTCTTTTTTTCAAGACTAAGCATGACCCATTAATTAAACTTTTCTTCATAGAATAAGTTTTCTCTTCCTGGTTTGTTCATGTCTTTCCTTACATATTGCTCCCAGAATTGGACACAGTACAGGAGCAGTGTGAAGATATAGAGAGGTATTACGGTGAATGTAAGATCAGGTAGGTGTATAAGATTAAGAATATTAACAGCAAGTGTCAGCCGAAGCGGATGATGATCAAAGACGAGAATGATAAGATGCTCATGAAAAGGAGAAGGTTGTGCAGCAATGGATGAGATATTGTACTGATCTGTACAAAGCACTGTTGGACCCGAGTGTCTCAGAGAGACTGATCGAAGAATTGAAAGAGCTCACCGCCGAGCATTGAGAGCGAGACCAATATTTTGAAGGAGGAAGTAGAAAAAGTAGTGAAACGACTAAAGAATAACAAGAGCCCTGGAAATAAGATCATGGGAGCGATGATCAAATACGGCGGAGAAAGTCTGATTCAGGAAATACATCGACTATGTAATATAACGTGGAAAGAAGGGAAGGCAGCTAAGGAATAGATAAAATCTGTGCTAGTAACAATACACAAGAAAGTTGGAGTGCAAGAACTACAGAACGATTGCCTTAACGAGTCATCTTGGCAAGGTGCTGATGATAGAAGAACATCTAGTGGATGAGCAAGCAGGATTCAGGAAAGATAGAAGTACCATACAGCAGATATTGGCACTAAGATTGATAGTGGAGAAGGCTCGGCAAAAGAACAAGAACATCTACAATTGCTTCGTCAATTTTCAGAAGGCACTTGACAGTATAGATCAGAAAGTGACTTGAGCGGTATTGGAGTCATACAGAGTGGATTGTAGACTGATACAGTTGTTGAAGGATATCAGCGATAATTCAGAGGCAGTGGTGAGAACATGCGGAGAGTTAGGAAGTTGGTTTAAAATGAGTAGAGGTACTAGACAAGGAGATCTGATATTGCCGAGTATTGTCATCACACACCTAGAGAGAGCGATGGGCAAGATCAAGGAAGAGGTACACTGTGCACCGGATGAGAATTAACAACTTGAGGTTCGTGGGTGATGTATTTGTCAAGGAAGATGAAGAGAAGTTAGCGAGAATGGTGCAGGTACTAAATGAGGAAGGTAAGCGGTGTGGATTGATCATGAATATCGATAAAACAAAGACTGGTATTTGGAGTTAAGGAACTAGGAAGGAAGATCAGTGTAGATGGGGTCAAATTAGAGAAAGTAGAGAAGTTCACATATTTGGGGAGCAATATGACATATGATCTAGACTGGAAGAAGGAAATAGCGACTAGAATAGCAAAAGCAAGAGCGAGTTTGAAAGCAATGGATAAGATCTGGAAAAGTAAAGTGATTAGTTTAGGAATGAAGCTGAGCGTCTTGAAAACGTGTGTATTTAGCAGCATTTTGTAAGACATGGGTGATAACGAAAGACTCGAAGAGAAGGATATTTGCGTTCAAGAGGAGGAGTTATAGAAAGATTGTGAGAGTAGGATGGATGCAGGTCACCAACGAGAAATTATATAGGCAGATATAGCCAAAAGAGAACCTACTGCAGAAGGTTATACAATGGAAGTTACATTTAATCGGGCTTATCTGCAGAATGAATGACAAGCGATAAGGTAAGACCTTGGTATTCGGCACAATGGATGGTCCGAATAGGAGAGGCAGACTCCACAGAGAATGGGTAGATGATATAGTAGATGAGTGCAGAGCTAGTCTACAGAAACTAGCTACTCTGCACTGGACAGGGAAAGATGGAAGGAAATAGTGAGGGAGGCATTGGACACCAATGAGCGTTGAGCCCATGGTTGATGATGATGATGACTTCACCTGAGGCCTCTCTAATGCAGAGTGAAGCAGGACAGATACCTCCCATGCCTTTCTTGTGATATTAAAAGAATTTTTTTTTTTTTTTTTTTGCAACTGCAAGTCACATTGCTGACCTGTATTCAATTTATGATCTGTTGCAGTCCCCAGATATTTTTTCATTACTGTTGTCTAACCATGTATTCCCATTTTGTAGTTGCGCATCTGATTTTTTTCCTTCCTATGTGAAGTACTTTGCATTTGTCTTTATTGACTTTTATCTTGTTGACTTCAAAAATTCTCTAATTTGTCAAAGTTAATTTTTCATCTAGTCCTGTTCTTCAAAGTGTTTGCAATACTCTCCTTGCAGCTTTCTGTCATCAACAAAATTTAAGCATACTTGCCCCTCATTTATTCAAGTTA